TACTATTAAAATATGGATTATTAGCTACAATTGTTTACTATACTAATTGGTATAACGTAAACAAAAAATAGTTTAATAAAATTTTGAATGTAAGCCACTAAAACCTCATGTCATGCACAGTAAACGATGCCTGGGCAGAGAGGGTTAATAGCTGAAAATAACTGAACAGATTATCAACAGATTTTAAACTTTTTTTAAAAATTTAATGATTTAGATATTTCACCAATGGCAAGGATGGAAAGATGTTATCATTCCATGTTTTGCATACACTTAAAATTTAATTTTATAGCAAAAATGAAAACAATTTGATTATTATATTACCAAATAATAAGTGTTTGAAATAAAATAATAATAATAATGACGTTGGGAGTATAAATTGAGGAAAATTTTGAAATTCTGTGACTGTATAATATTTAATTTTGGTGATCTTTATAAACTAGAACAATGGAACAATTTGAGAAGAATAGCCTACCACTGTAGACTTGAACATTACCTTTTGTACAGGTGCTTTATATTTGTAATTTCTCATGATTCAACTTTAAGACAAGCAGTCAAAACTATACATCAGATGGGATATAAAGCATATCTCTATAGTGGAAGTTTGTCAGTAATGCTACTATATTAGTTAGAATATTCACATGTATACAGAATGACACAACATTTCCATACAAACTAACATACAAGTCCTACTTTACAATAACATAGGTACACCTGAATAATTCCTCACATCTAAGCAAAGAATCAAACAGACACATATAAATAATGAAACATTATCATTCAGAGAACTTAGCCAGAGACTAACAGATACGTGTAAATACAGAAATTGTATCATGGAGAGAACTTAGCCAGAGGCTATCCAAACAAAGGATCAAACAGACACGTGTAAATACAGAAATGATATCATGGAGAGAACTTAGCCAGAGGCTATCTAAGCAAAAGATCTAACAGACACGTGTAAATACAGAAATGGTATCATGGAGAGAACTTAGCCAGAGGCTATCTAAGCAAAAGATCTAACAGACACGTGTAAATACAGAAATGGTATCATGGAGAGAACTTAGCCAGAGGCTATCTAAGCAAAAGATCTAACAGACACGTGTAAATACAGAAATGGTATCATGGAGAGAACTTAGCCAGAGGCTATCTAAGCAAAGGATCAAACAGACACGTGTAAATACAGAAATGGTATCATGGAGAGAACTTAGCCAGAGGCTATCCAAACAAAGGATCAAACAGACACGTGTAAATACAGAAATGGTATCATGGAGAGAACTTAGCCAGAGGCTATCCAAACAAAGGATCAAACAGATACGTGTAAATACAGAAATGGTATCATGGAGAGAACTTAGCCAGAGGCTATCTAAGCAAAGGATCAAACAGACACGTGTAAATACAAAAACAGTATCATGAAGAGAACTAACCAGACACCACAAGCTCAAATTACAATTGTAATGGCACCCAGCAGTAGCAGAGGTTTAGTGATAACCTTGTCTACAAATATGTTTAAAAAGTAAAAGCAATTATTGAATGGGATTTGATGGTACAAATACCATCGTTCATGGTTACTTGTCTTCTACAAGATTCATAAAAAGCAAAACTGTCATATTGAACAGTTCAGTAACTTTTCAGTATTATAAAGTGTTATGTATATTTTTCCATAAGGAATGCTGCACAACTTCTGGTAAAAGGGATTTCTTTTTTTTCCTTTCACTCTTATTATTTACCTAAACAAAAGCAGTGCTTAACTTTTGAAGGTGGTTATTTTTTTACAGGTATTTGCACCTTATGAAGTTTCATCGTGTTTGGAAATACTGGACATCTGCTCAGTTGATTCCATTCCTCTTCATTTAATTTGTCCTCTAAGGTTTTGTCTGTATCCTTTTATATAGTGAAATAACTTTTGTGAGACAACAAGTCTAAGAAGTCTACGCATTATAAAATCAAAAGAATAAATTTGGAATGTATTTTCTAAATTAAGATATCTAATGAATGTTTCAGAAAATACCTTGTGAATTTCTTTGATTAAAATTTTCAGTTTATATTTATGGTGATAATTTCTAAAGTCAATGTGTAGCACACGTTAAGGTCACATGAAAGATGACTGAGAGTACTTACTTCTATGCCTACTGATGTATAAAAGAGATGTAACTGTGATAGAAATGGTTTCAGTTTGTATTTATGGTGATAATTTCTAAAGTCAATATGTAGCACACATTAAGGTCACATGAAAGATGACCGAGAGTACTTACTTCTATGCCTACTGATGTATAAAAGAGATGTAACTGTGATAGAAATAGTTTCAGTTTGAACCTGCAGATAAAAATATCAACAATAATTTACATTTCAAGTCTGCCAGTTGTTAAAATCAACACATTGTCTAACATGCAAGTTTTGGCTTTAAAAATTAAACTTTTATTAATGTTTCATTCAGCCTTTGTAAAAAATTGTAGTTTGGTAAAATTAGCAGTTGATTTAGTTTGAGTGAAGTACATCACATCAAATAATGTCTTGTCCTGGCCTTTGGGGAAAATAAATCTAAGGTAGAGATCTATACTGATGTGTGATTTACATAAATTATTTTGTGGAAAATATTAAAGAAAAAAAAATGTATAAAAAATGTTTGTAGGTGTTTTCAAGTTTGAATTTCTGCTTATCAAATATGTAATGGGTCAACACCCAAAATATTTCTATAATAAATAATATCTATGTTAGTCACTTATTTGGTATAAAGTACAAGTAATTTCTTTATTGAAAAGCTTTGCTTTACATGAAGTTTTTTGCAGAAGCCTCTTGTCCATTTTTGAGCAATTAAAACAAAAATAAATATTCTAAGTCACTAACAGTTAATATTCACTGGGTGAAGTATAGCACACACAGTAACACATTTAGCTTTTCATTCCACAGTAAAGCAGTTTTTCTGTTTTTAAACCTGAATAATTTCAGTTGTATTTGCAAGTAGATTCAGTAGGTTTACAGCTGAACGATTGTAGATATCTGCTGTCCTTCCCAAAGCCATCACACTATGTTGTAGGTGCAGTCTCTCTGATAGAACTTCCATGCTTCATAATTTATGTCTCATTTCAGCCAAATCTCACATAACTACAGGATTTATACTGAGCTTCTTTTGCCTTTACTTTTCTTCAAGTACTTTTGATTACAGTAACAGCACTGATCACTTAAGTTTTTAATCATGTAGTGTTACCACTAGCCCTTTAATTGAATCAGTCAAAAACTCTTGTATTTAAGTAGATATTCATTAATCTAATTCATTGTTGTTTCTTCAAACTCATTCACCATGTATTTATATATAAATACAAATTCCAAAACAGTACAATGTCCTTTCACCAAAGTTATCTCGATCCTGGTTTGTCCTCTAAGCATTGTTAAAAAAAGTGTTGCTAACAATTTTTTATACACCTTCATTTTTCCCCCATTTCAGCACTTGTGCTATCATGTGACTACCCTCCACCAATCATACTACACCATCTATACTGTGAGGAGGATGCTACTATACAAAAGGATTTAGATTATTTAGTGAGTTGGACAAATAAATGGCAGATGGATTTTAATTATAATAAATGCAAGATAATGCGTGTGGGTTATCATAATTGGAATTATAAGTATAATTTGGATGGGAATAACCTTAACAATGTTATGAAAGAAAGGTATCTTGCTGTAATAGTTGCTCAGTCTCTAAAGTCATCCAAGCAGTGTGCTGTTGCTAGTGGTAGAGCAAAAAGGATTTTAGGTTGTATCTACAGAAATATTGAATACAAGTCTAAAGAGGTTATAATTTCATTGTATAGGTCACTGGTTAGGCCACATTTGGAATATTGTGTTCAGTCTTGAGCTTCTTACCTTAGGAAGACATTGAATTGTTGGAAAGGGTTCAGAAAAGGGTTACTAGAATGGTGCCTGGGATGTAAGGATTGTCATACAAGGAGAATTGTTTTTTCAAATTGTTTTCTTTTTAAAATTGGGGGGGGGTCGGGTTATTGAGGTGTTTAAGATTGTAAAGGGAATTGATAGTGTTGATGCATCATGTTTTTTCATATTTAACATTGAGAATAGTAGGACTAGGGGACACAAATATAAAGAAGTCATCTTCAGCTAAGACAGTTTTATTTTTCTAACAGGGTGGTTGGCCTTTGGATGTTGTGGAGGCAGTAAATTTAAGTAAGTTTAAGAAAAATCTTGATAAATATGTGAATGATAAATGCTGGCTTTAAGGTTTTTTTCTTTGTTTTTTAATTTATTTATTTTAATCTACTTTAGATGATGGAACAGCTGAGATGAACCGTGTTGTCCCAGAATGTTATGTTATAGTCCTTAATATCACTGTTCCATTGTAGAAATAACTTGGTGGAAGTGTTCACCTTGCTCATTCTTCCCTGCACCTAGGTCATTTGGAAAGAAGTCTAAGTGGGAGTGTAAGAAGTGCATCTTTAGTGACATCCTAGACCCCCTTTTCCTGTCTCAAGCATATCATAAATCATCACATCATAGTTTACATTTTCGTGATTTCTTAAGAAATGTTTGACAACCAGTTTTAGTTATTTGTAGGCACCAAATTCTTTCTGATTGAGTACTGTTTCAACATCATCATTCATCAGCACTTCTAGAATCTGTAGCCTAGCAAAGATACCTCCTTTCATTTTGCCTTCATTGATTTTTGGAAACTTGTCAAACAGATATCTGACACAATTACCATCTTTGTTCATTCCTTTTAGAAAATTCTTCATGAGTCCCAGTTTAATATAAAGTGGGGACAGAAACACATTTTGAGGATTAAGTAAAGGTTGATACTCGATATTCTGTTTCTCTGGTACATGATTTTCTGTCACTGGCCATTCATTCTTTTTGAAATGATTTCTTATCATCACAGCAGTTCCAGAGACACAAATAGCAACAATATTTGGTATACTCACTCTGCAAGCCTAGCAAATTGCAATAACTTTTAGATCATCACATATGTTCCATCTATGGTGATCATATTTGATGACCTCAAGTATAATCGGTATGCTATGATAAGTTTCTCTCATGTTCACAGCATGATCAACAGGAATCAATGGCTTAATGTTCCCATTGTGCAAAAGTACAGCTTTCAGACTAACTTTAGATGACTGGATAAAAAGTCTCCATTCTTAAGGATGATGTTCAGTACCTAATTTTTCAGTTAGTACATCAGCATTTGTACAGATACACAAAGTCTCCTGCATGCTGTAGTGACAAGCAAGACTTTGGTGAATTGAACTTGTTTCTGGAGTTAACAAATTCCA